ATGTTGAAGAAGTCTTTTTCATTTATAAAATTTGAGGCAATCTATAGGAGTGGAATTTGACTGGTAGGGGGCATGAGGGAACTTTCTCAGGTGATAGAAGTGTTCTGTATCTTGATTGGGGTGTTGGTTACTCAAGGTATATATTATTTTAAAGTATGTTTTTATTGATTTTAGAGAGAGAGGAAAAGGGAAAGGGATAGAGAAATAGAAATATCTATGAGAGAGAAACATCAATCAGCTGCCTCCTGCATTCCCTCTGCTGGGGTTCAAGTCCGCATCCTGGGCATGTGCCCTGACTGGGAACTGAACCGGTAACCTCCTGGTTCATGGGTTGATGCTCAACCACTGAGCCACACCCGCCAGGCTCACAGTATATTTTTTATAAAACATTTTACAATTAGTATCTGTGTATTTCAATATGTAAATTATACCTGAAATTTTTTTAATGAAAATATTAGAGGCAGTAGAGTGGGGCCTATTGGGTAAATCTTTGTCTTACAGCACTTGAGTTATTTCCCAAGATAGACCCTATCCCAGCATCCACAGAAGACTTCAATGGTGTTGCTGAAGAAGGATGATTCAGTTCAGTGATATATTTTGCCAGTAACAGTTATCAGCTTTCTATGTATAATTGCCAACTCCTTCTGTAACTGCTACTGATACTGGTTTTTAGATGGGTCTTTCAGCAGTTTCCTGAACTCTAGCCAGAAAGTTCAAAAAAAGTACCTTTTCTACCCTCCCAAATGGTGCAACACTCTTATGGTCTGTTACCCAGAAATGGGTATCTCTCTTCACTAAATTGTTACCATTAAGGAATGGGGTATAGAATCTAAATATCAATTCCTTCCTTTGTCCTGTCTGTTGGCTACTGTCCCTTCCCCACCCTATAGCCAGCACATTTTCCCCTTGGCTCTTTAGGAGCGGGGGCACCAGCTGGGCCTTCTACATCCTGGCACAAGTAGGGCTAAGAGTGCCTGATGTCTAAATTGGTGCCAGTCATGAGCTATGAGCCCCAACTACAGTGCTCCTTTCCTCCGTCTGATTAGATTTATCTGTACTCTAGTACCAGAGTGGGCCTTTGCACATCTCACCTCATAGCTGTTGCTCGTCTAAGACCACAAACATAAGGGGAACTGGAAGTTCAGGAGTTTCTCACTGTAGCCAAAGTCCAGTGTTGGTGAGAGCTAATTAATTAGGCCCTGCATTTAGAGGTGGGTGGGTCGGGAACCCAGAACAGTCTGCTGAAAGTAATTTCCTGATTCCACACCTTATCAAGCTAGAACTCCTCTATGTTAACCAAACCCTTAGGAAGATTGCTAACCTTTTATTTTTGTTTCTCCCTTGAAAATATATCCTAAGATGCTTCTGTTAGATATAGATGAATTACTATTGAGCTGTTAAAATTACATTTTTTAAAATAAGTAATATATTCATGATACAATATTCAAAAGGTACAAAAGGATACACAGTGAGAAGTCTCCCTTCCATATACCAAGATGGAATGCAGACTGTGACAGTGGATCTGCTGTATTACTAGTGTAATACATTAAAGGGGGTTGGGGGAAAAGCTGACCTAAGTGACTTTGGAAAACAGTATTTTGTCTGGAAACTATACGGTGAAAGACAACACTGCATAAACACTGCACTCTACTTATAAATTTGTTTCTCACAGAGGTTGAAAATTCTGAAAGTAATTTATAGTTTTGCTTGGGTCGAAAAAATAATAAGTGATAGAAAATGGGAACCAAGTTTCTCCCTGTCAGGGAAATGAACCCTGTGATACTTTAATATGATCTTATGTTTAGTTTAATACAGTATATGGATAGATACAGAAATAATGATAGATATGTGGGTTAGAATACATACATATATTTATTTCCCAGCTCTCTCTGCTAAGGAGAGCCTAGAAGCAGTGACCACTATAATAGCGTGAGCATAGCAATGCCCAGATCTTGGTTTTTAATACCATTCTCCACTAAAAGGAACCAGAGTTTCTTGGAGAAAAGGCTAATTCTAGGGCTGGAGTGGGGTTATTACAAGATGAGCCTGTGGTACAGTATGTTCTCTAATGTCATTGATAGATTCTACGACTTTAAGCAAAACGACTTATAAAGAAACCAGATTTTATATACGCTAATTGATATAAACAAGGGTTAAGTTCCTACGGCATTTTATGAACATTAAATGAAACAACTCTGAATGAATGAAATGACATTATTTGAGGACCTGCTGTATTTGTAATGTGAAAAGTAAGAAAATACTTTTAAAAATAAAATAAAACAGCCCTGTCCGGTGTGACTCAGTTGGTTGAGCATCATCCCATGCAGCAAGAGGTCACTGGTTTGATTCCCAGTCAGGGCACGTACCCAAGTTGCGGGCTCGTTCCCCTAGAAGGGGGTGTGTGGAAGGCAGCTGATGGATGCTTCTCTCATCGACATTTCTCTCTCCTCCTCCTCTCTCTCTAAAATCAATAATAACATTTAAAAATATGTTTATTTAAAAATATGTTTTTTAAAACATATTTTTCCTCTTCCAGGAGTAGAGGGTTAAGGGGAGGTGGAGGAGATTATGGGGGGATAAATGGTGATGGATGGAGACTTGACTTGGAGTGGTGAACACAATACAGCGTACAAATGATGTGTTGTAGAATTGTGCACCTGAAACCTGTATAATTTTGTTAAGCAGTGTCACCCCCATAAATTCAATAAAAAGGAAAAAAAAAAAAAATTANAATTTTGTTAAGCAGTGTCACCCCAATAAATTCAATAAAAAGGAAAAAAAAAAAAAATTAAAAATCAATTGGTTGCCTCCCACATGCGCCCTGACCAGGGCCACAGATTTTTATTTTAAAAATTACTTATTCTCATATGTATTTGTATCTTTTTCTGGATTTTCTATTCTATTTCTGCACCATTGATTTCTTTGTCTGAATATGAACTCATATTTAAAAGTATAATAATCTTTTAATATCTGGAAGGTCTAACTTCTGAAGTTCCCAGTACTCTTTTTCAGAATTTGCCTGTTTAACTCTGTATTTTTTTGCACATTCACTTTAGAATAAGCTTATCTAGTTGTG